ACCTGAAAACAAAAACCTTGTTCAGTAATGATGACTTAATATGAAAGCTTAGTGGTCTGATTATCATATTTTTAAATTTAATTAGTATTTACATAATTGTATCATATCAGCGATCTGACATAAAAAAGCCTATCGGAGCCCAAATCATATAGACAATTTTAGTACTACAAAACTGTTGAACAACCATTTGAACACAAAATGTGAAAATATCATATCATTGACTTTTTTCGGTACAAACTCTGATAATATTTTGCAATTTAATTAATAGAAATTAACAACATTCTCAAATTAGGTGAAAACAGATTTGTGTAGGAGGTTAAACCTACTTTTTAGAAAAAAAATTACATAAATTTTAAAAATGATTTAATATTAAATCCTCAATTTTTTATGGTAGTTAAATATTAATTACCACTTTTGCATGTGACCTTTTGACAGTTACATAATTTAAAATGAATTGATTATCATAATTAAAGGACTCGTCTCATTGAGTCATTTCTCCATATTCCTTCCCAATATCTCTACACTAACCAATACATAATAAAATTAAGGGTAAATACAATTTAATAGCCAAACCTTTCATTTCAATAAAATTATAGCCAAACCTTTTCAAAAATATTTTAATAGCCAAACCGTTAACTTTCCATCCGGTCAACGATTAGTTGACTCTGACGTGGCAAATCTATTGCTGAGTTGGATTACTTTTTATGATGTGGCAAAAAATATAACATTTAAATTTATTAAAAAAAATGAACCACCTTGTAATCCACCACCTGCTCAACCCTTCCCAATCCCCACACCCGCACCCACAAATCGTCCACCGCTTAAACCTCCATTATTTCCGATCCCATCACCTGCTCCGCCGCTCCACCATTCTCAATCCCATCACCGATTCCCCATCCTTACCTATCCCACCAGGCACCAAGCCACCACCACCAGCTCCACCTCCTAACCCGCCACTGTCGCCTAACCCTTTGCCCCCACCAGCTCCTCCACTAAACCTCCATTTTTTTTCTTTAATAAATTCCCATGTCGTAAGATAAATGTTGTAATTTTTGCCATATCATAAAAAATAATTCAACTCCGCGATAAGTTTGTCATGTCAGAGTCAACTAACTGTTGAGTGAACGGAAAGTTAACGATTTGACTATTAAAATGTTTTTGAATAAGTTTGGCTATTATTTTGTTTAAAATTAAAAAAAATTTGACTATTAAATTGTATTTACCATAAAATTAATTTAATCTCCTCCATTTATCTCTTTTCATCACAAACTTTATTGTTTTCAAAACACATCAAATTCTTGATTTGGCATAAAAATATCCACAACTATTGATACCCGTGGGAATCCGATCAACCGGGTAGGGTAAAATGCAAGTGTGTATTCAAATTTCATTGCCCAGTTGAGCGACGATCGACAGTAGCGCCCGCGTGCCCGTTAGAGAACTGTAAAGCAACTTTCTTTAGCATAAGCACATTAAGATTAGTCTGGTGCGGACGACTAATGGAAGAAATTTCAAAGACTAATAATCTGTAAATATATGTTGAGTATGCAATCAAAAGTATCCAAACCACAAAAAAATAGAGCCATGAAAATACAAACCTTTTCATTTAAATTCCATTAAAATATTAAACTGAAAAAGAAATGAACGACAAATAATGACTGCAAAATGTGGAAACTAAAATAAAAAAACTTCTAAAAGGCTCATATTATAAGTTTGGATGAAGAATAAAGTAAAGCTACTAAACCAGGATCATCCAATACTTGCAAGATGATAATTCTTAATGACTAATCAAAAGGGTCTCAAAAAGTGTGAGAGAAGAGTACTTAAACTTTTATAAGGATTTAAAGCTCTTATGTTGAATCTAATAAAGCCGTGGAGCTTGTTTTTATCCTCATAGCTAGAAAGCAAGCTAAAATCAGCCAACGCAATGGACCTAATGAATTCACTTTGAACAAAGACTGATTTAGGTTCCAACCACCGACAGGGGCAATCGAAGATGATGAGATCTATCCCAAAATGTGAAATATGAGCTCTAGAGTTTTGAGTACACAACCAATTAATGGGCGAAAAATACGATCAAGCAAATAAGTCTAAACATCATTCTCTCTGGAGAGCTCACAATACTGATTGTTAACACTTACGAATGTCCTAATCATAGTTGCACATCTGATTGCTTATGAATGTCCTACTCACATATTATTTATTCAAAATGTATCAACCGCGGAGGTGCCTAAGAAAAATTGTATAACTATCTCTGTAAGATGCAATTGAGGAAGCATGGAACAGAGCTTAATTAAGCTATTCTATATTCATAGAGATGAAGCAAGTTCCATTTGTGAACTGTTATTCTTTACAGTGATGTTCTTGGAGTTACCACAACTAAACTCTGGACCTAAAGTTGTTTGTGCTTAGATAATTTATATTTTTCATATAAAAGGTCCATTCATAATGGGTAGGGAGCAATCATGATCTTCTGAATAGTTGCAGAGTGTTTTTTTTTGAAAGTCATTGGAAATTCATTAATGAACCCAGGAGATACACAGATTTTGGGCCAAGCCCCATGGAAGGAACAAAGCACTTGGACACAGGGCCTACCAACAGAACTCAAATAATGAAAGGTTTCGCTAACCACAAAAGGCCTGACAGAAAAGGCAAACAAAATGGCTAGCAAAGCCCAAACACAACAAAGGCCTGAAAAAGTAAACCCTAGCCCACTAATCCTTCATTCCAGCGAGAGGAGCAGCAGCCGCACCAGGGGACACTTCCTCGAACCGATCAGCAGCGGGAAAAGCACAGCAAGACGGCCGGCGAAGAGAAGCAATGTCCGACCAAGCCTTAAACCGCCAACACCCCAAAAACCAACCAGATCCAAGCAAGACACCTCCTCCGCAGCAAAAGCACATGCATCCGAACGATAGAAAAGGAGCCCAAGTGGAGAGAACCTCGCCTTCGAGCTTCACGAAGCTGGAACCGTGGGCAGATCGCAATAGGATGCCCAAGTCTTCTCCGAAACACCGCAATGGTGAAGCAAGGAGGAGGCACAGAGACATGAAGGAGAAGGCAAACTGAGGAAGACCTCAATCCCCTCTGTGATCAACAAAACATCTCAGAGCAGATCCAGATGATCAAGCTTGAGGAAGAAAGAGAAGCACCCATCTTGAAGAAAAGGTGAGAAAAGGCTCCATATAGGAAGCAACGAAGAACAAAGAGAAGCAGGACAAAGCGAAGAAAAAAGGTTAAAACTAAAAGGGCTACCGCCGGCAGCTTGGAAGCGCCGACGGCAGCCCACTTGAGGCTCAGATCTGAAAAAGCTTAGAGAGAAGGGAGAGAGTTTTAAAGCTTAGAGAGAGAACAAGAAAAGGTTTCTGATGTGGGTCTCGATAGTTGCAGAGTGTTATTGCTAAACATAGCAACAATCCTGTTTGAAAAGCATGTCAACCAACCATAAAAAAAAGCATGTCAACTTATACTACTTAGATTGAGGATTCCTTATAACAATACGAAATCACTAATAATGGCTAGCTGCCTTTGACAAAAAAAAAAAAAAAAAAAAAAAAGCTAGCTGCAAGTACATTCAGTATTCGATTGGTAGGGGCATATTTCTATCAATCTCAAACTATCAAGAGCTAATCCTGGGATGACCTACCGTTTCTATAGTAAATAGATTAAGTGATCAGGAATATTTGTCACTACATTCAAGATTTGAAAGCTAAAAGTAGTTCTTCAGCCAATCGCAACCCATTAACAGTTAATCCTGATTTGAAAGCTATGTAGTTCTTCAACCAATTGCAACCCATTAACAGTTAATCCTGAAATATTGACCTGGTGTTTATATTTACCTCAACACGTATAATGCCGATTGCCTTGGTCTAACATCAAACATAGCTGCGGTTTAGCCAACAAAAAGAACTACAAAGATGCATTGATGCTACATAGTCATAGATGCACAATCCAGTTCGAAAAGCTCGTAAATGGAATACGTCAAGTATGTATGACTCCTTAGAACAATATATTTCCACCAATTATATTTTTTTGTGAATGCAGTCAGAAATCTAATTCGGCAATGCCAAATCATTAATTAACAATTAATACTTGAATTACCTGATGGTTAGAAACGCTACAGGATTAGTTTTCGGACTGCCTTGGTCGATCTTCAAACACACCTACATTTTACAGATACCGCCTAACCCTGTACCCACTTCACTTGCCACCAGCTGATCTTATATTTCATAATTGATTTGCGGGAAGGAGGCAGTAGGCGAAATCGTGATTTGTGGGTTACGCTGGGAGGAGAGCAAGCGAAGTCGAGGCTGGCGGGTTTCGCGGAAAGGAGAACAGGCGGGTTTTGGGTTTTGCCAGGAGGAGAGCCGGCGGAGTCGAGGAAGCGGCGTTGGCGAGCAGACGACTTTACTAAGCATCGATGTAGTTTCCTAGACGTGGAGAGAAGGAGGAGCGACGACGCTTTCGCATTCTACCTCCAATCTCCCACCGAGCGTAACTGCGGCGTGAGAGAGATTACAGGAAGATAGTGTTTGGGTGAAGGAGAAGGCCCGATGCAGGCCCAAATGAGATTACAGGCCTGATAGCTTCATACTCACCACAACGCACCGAACAGATTAAGTTGGCTGGAAAAGTCATTACTGTCCTTCCGTGAATCAATCAGGAAGCTCCGATTTCAAAATGCTGAAAAAGTGACCCATGAATATGCTTCATATATTTTATAGATGAGTGTTTCGTAGGAGGCGGGCGTACTTATTAACTATGAGCGTTTCGTTGAAAAACTAAGTAGATTCTAGCGAAATTTATATTATTTATTAATAACCCAAAAAGTATATAATTATATAGTTATTTTTTTGGCTATGAAGGTATATAAAAGTCATAATATGTAAACGTATCTAATTTAGCAAATAAGTATACGGCAGATAGAAAGATTACAAACAAGAAAAGTGATAATAATAATTCAAATAAAAGAAGGAATACGCCGAAAAGAAAGAAAGCATGTGCGTACAACTTTTGTCTTACGAGATCAACGCCTTAAATAAAAAAAAGGTTCACCCACAACCCATCGAACGTCTCTTCTCAATAACTCTCTGCTCTTCTTCTCACAATTCGCTCACCACGCCCTCCTTCCGTTCCTTCTTCTTCTCGAGCTGCTGGATTTTTCTTTATCAGATACAGTCAAGTCTGCCTCGCATCTTTTGAATGAATGGGACCCATCAGAGGCTTCAAGCGGAGGAAGAAATCTTCGGACCATAAGGTTGACCAGAATGCCTCACCTTCTACTCCTGCTTCAGCTGCTGCTAAGGACCATGGTGCTTCTGTTCCTTCTCCGACCGATAAAGCTGTTGATTGGTGGGACGATTTCTCCAAGAGGATCACTGGTACGCCTTGCATTCCACTATTCCCTTTTGATTTCATATATTTAGATGAGCCCAACTACTGTTTCGTGTTTGCTCCCTTTAATGGCCGGACCCGACTGATTGTATTGGCTTGATTTTGGATTGTGTGAGGGATTGACATGGTTCTTCTGATTGGTGAGAGATTATGCGACGTGGGTTAATTCCGTTTTTTGGCTGTAATTGAGCTTTGGTAATGGCTGCCCACTACAGTGTCCTTCCTAGCTACTGTATCCATGTCGCTATATGTCTTGCTTTGCTTTGTCCCGTTCTGCATCTGTGGTTTCCTGCATTGCTTTTTCCTCCATCAGGATTGGATTGGGTCCTTCATCAGATCATTGATGCTTGAACTTGGGAGTTATCAGTTAATCGGAGATGGGTTGATCTGGTTTTTTCATTAAGGACAATGATATGCTTAGTGGCACTCAAATTGTCATAGTATGTTTGGGATCCTACCAACCTTGTAACCATATTCTAGTCATCGTCTTACTTAACTTCTGTTCACAACTAGATCAATGCTTTTCTCCTAGTAGCTTGGCTATATTGTGGTTTAAATACCGAGTAGCTTACCTACTTGTTGATGTTTTCACATCTTGACATGTTATGCAGTCACTTGAATGCTGCCTTATCTCCAATGACATCAATCGGATAGTTTCATTTTAAACCTTTTATGATGTGAGAGATGAGTTGCTGTCATATTAGATCCTGTCAAGAGGATTGATTTGTATGTCTCTACTTTCCAGGGCCATTGTCTGAATCAAAGAATGCAAAGAGCTTTGAGTCCCTTTTCAGAATTTCAAGGAAGACTTTCAACTACATATGTTCCCTAGTGAAGGATGATTTGGAAGCTCGGCCTTCTAACATCTTGGATCTAAACGGGAAGACATTAACTCCACATGATCAAGTAGCTGTTGCTCTCCGCAGGCTGAGTTCAGGTGAGTCATTAGCAAGCACAGGTAACGCCCTGGGAATCAACCAATCAACTGTTTCCCAAATAACCTGGAGATTCGTGGAAGCAATGGAGGCAAAGGCAGTCCACCATCTCCAGTGGCCAGCATCAGAAGCAGAGATGGAGCAGATCAAGAACAAGTTCATGAAAATCCGCGGCCTCCCCAATTGTTGCGGTGTAATAGACGCTACACATGTTCTCATGACTGTTCCTACAGTCAACCATTCACATGAAGTGTGGCTTGATCGAGAGAAGAAGTTCAGCATGGTAATGCAAGCAGTGGTGGACCCCGACATGAGATTCCGTGATGTGATCGTTGGGTATCCAGGAAGCTTGAGCGATGCTGTCATCCTCCAGAGCTCAGGTTTCTTCAAACTATGTGAAGAAGGCAAACGATTGAACGGCAAGAAGAAGGAGCTGATGGAAGGGACAGAGTTGGGTGAATACATTGTAGGGGATGCAGGGTTCCCATTGCTGCCATGGCTCATTACCCCGTTCCAGCATGCTGTCCCGGGTCATCAGGTCGATTTCAACAAGCGGCATTCTGCAACACGCTCGGTTGCAAAGATTGCACTGGCGAGACTGAAGGAGATGTGGAGGATAATCCACGGTGTGATGTGGCTGCCTGATAAGAACAAGTTGCCTAGGATCATCTTTGTTTGCTGCTTGCTGCATAACATTTTGATTGACATGGAGGATAAGGAGCTGAATGGAGTTCCTTCCTCTAGAGATCATGACCCGGATTACAGACAGCAGTTCTGTGAGTCGGTCTCAGAGCCTGGTAGTGAGATCAGAGAGAAACTCTCTCTATACTTGTCCAGAAAGCCTCCACCTTGATAAGAAACCAGTCTTGGTGGGACTTCTTCTTTCTGCCAACAGTGTTTCCTCTGACATACAGGTTTTGATAGTTACTATAAAGATTGGTGAACCATTGAACATGGGTTCTCATTTTTTTCCTCAATTGTCCATGTTGAATAGACAGACACATTGTTGGCCTTTTACTTCTGTCTCTTTCAATTGTTGTAGAAGGAAGTATTTGTGTTGAATTCCATTTTTTTGTTGTAATTATGGATAAGGAGTTGTTTGACCAATCATGTAATGCTTTCCATCAGGAAGCTTGAGATTGTTGATTCAACCCATCTGGGATCTCATTGCCCTTGAAAGTTTTGATCTTCTTCAGGATTGCCTTGATACAATGTGCAGGTTACTCACAAATCACAACTGACCCGTCTAACATACCCAGTTGAGTTTCATGTATACTCCGAGTGTCCGAAACATTGCTTCTAATTGCGGATTGAAGTGTAGGCGCACGCAAGGGTTTGATTGCACCAAACTGAAACTGACTTCTGCTTTTAGTGTGATTCCTTTCTTGGAGAACTGTGGAGTGACTTTTAATCTAAGGTGATGAAATGAAAGGAAGGATATCAGTCGAAGTCTGCCATGCCATGTTGGAAAATCACTAATTAGGAAAGGCAAGTTGGGCCCCATCGAGGCCCATAATGAAATGAAAGCTCGGTCCATGGGCCAACTTGTGAGCCCATTAGTTTGTTTTTTTTGCGAAACGGAGCTGAATGGAGCTTGTCGTCTCCAACCTCGTCGAGATCTAAAAATCCCCAAAACAGAGTTGCGAAAACCTGAACGGATCGAAGGTTGCTAGGGTTTTAGGTTTAAGGGCGGTGGGTTGTGCGAATGGAAGCAAGGCAACTCCTCAAGGACAAGAGATTCTGGGTCGCTTCGTTCCTGATTGCCTGGGCAGCTGTTCTTCAGGTCATTTGATTTCATTGCCCTGATTTCTGATATGGGGGTTTTCTCTGAAAACATGAAAGCTGCGGTCTTTTCATCTAATCTATACTTTCTTTCTCGTGGCTCGAACAGGGACATATGATGTGGTTACAGAGGCAAGAATCCTTCAAGCAGAAGTTTGGCACGGTTGAGCAGCAGCAGCAGCAGCAACGATGCTGATGCAAAAGAAGAATGAACCCCTCCTTGAATCTCTTTCATTCGTGGAGTCCAAAGCTTTAATGGAGTTTTACCCAACTGGGTTGTTCGTGTTCTTTTTGTTTCAGACCCAGATCAGATTGATGGGACATAGTTTTTTTGATGGGTCAATACAAAATAGATAGGGTGGTTATAATTTGCCCACTTTTGGCGTTTTCCTCTGTTCTTCAGGCTGGTCTTTGCACGCTACTGAACATAATCAATTTATAATGACCACCAAGTGTTCGACTAAATGTCTCTGTGAGAATTCAGCAAATGAAATTTGAGCAGCCACTTACGGTAAGTTCTGCAGACACTGAACGGGCAGAAAAATGACCAAACTTGCACCCCTGTCATTGTTCTTGACGGGAACGTACCCCATAAAAGGGGAAGTATGAAGAATTCCGGAAATCAGCTAGCGAGGTTTCAATATCTCTACCGGGGGAAAGTAGCCGTTGCGTTCAAAACCCTGCAGCTACACCATCAAGCAGAACTCACACTACTCTTCAGCATACAAAATCTTGGTCAGAATCACATCTCAACCCTTTTCACCAAGATTTTCGAAAATCTTTGTTGATTCTAGAGATTGTGAAGAATCCAATCTACTAGGCAAGCGGATCCCCTTCCCCCCCACTCTACAATGTCGAGCAATCAGGGTAACAGAAGGTGCGCTGGGTGCAAGTATCTGAGAAGAAGATGCCCCAAAGATTGCCTGCTGGCTCCTTATTTCCCTCCCAACAACCCACAGAGATTTGAATCCGTCCACAAGGTTTTCGGTGCCAGCAATGTCGCCAGACTCTTACAGGTAAACCAACCAAATTCATTACCATACCTAAATCCAATGGAAACAATCCTAACTCTGAGTCATACAAAATCCAATATCGAATCCCAAAAAAATGTAACCAAATTCTTGTACTCAAATAGTCAAAAGTGTACCATACCATGTGACCTTTTAGTACAGAACAATCAATAAGAAAATACCCACTAATTCAGCTCTCGACTGTTTAATTATCTGTCCAATTGCAGCAAGTGGCAGAGGATCGGAGGGCAGAGGCCGCGGACTGCATGGCGTACGAGGCGAGCTTGAGGGTTAGTAACCCAGTGTACGGGTGCGCTGGGATGGTATATCAGCTGCAGGAGGAGATAATGAAGGTGCAATTGGAGATTCAGGACGTGAAAGGCAAGATAGCGTTGCACAATGCAGGACACTCGTTTTTACCGGCATTACAGCAGCAGCAGGAAGAGCACAAGGAGAAGGAGAGGATTGTAGGTGTTGCTGCAGGAAATGTTTATCATGATCATGTGGGACTGCAGCAGGGTGCATACAATTTAGGAGGCACTGAGGAGGAGGATGGGCTTCTATGGCCTGGTTTAGTCACAGGAAAAATATGACTGGTCAATGACTTTTGTCTTTGTTTAGAAATAGATGACTAATGACTTTTGCAAGTGATGTAGATGACGCAATTGGGGATCGGATTAGAGTGTTATTATGTTTCTTTCCCAAGAAATTAAGAAAATGCTGAAGATTGATATGAACGGTCAATGTAAATGAATGGGGGTGGCTCTGCTCTAAGGCATTCATAAAAATTCATTTGACTTTGTTTGCCTTCTAGAGTCTAGACTAAAACAGAGTGCAAGGAAGCTTGTAATTACATGTGTGGTCATTTAGCAAGCAGCAGCAACCATCTGGACCTGGAAAATTAACCAACATATCAAAAGCGCAAACTTGTCTGTTTGCCAAACTAATGGGACCTTTCAGGTAAAGACTATTCCAATTCCAAAATTTACATGTAATTTTACGTATATTTCAAAATTCACATCTAACAAAGAACACATACGTTCAGAAATAAGCATTGTTTATTCGTTTTGGCCTGTACGTATATACCGGAACTCATCAATTTGGTCACTCTAACGAACCGGCTAAAGGGAAGGAAAGCAACCAAAATTCTCAACCAACCCTTAAAAAGTTGGACTTTGTAACGGTACAATTTGGACCACCGACCCAAACATGGTCTGGTTTACCACGAGAGAGATTGCAGTAATTGAAAGGCCCAATTATATTAATTAGATCATTTTTTTTAGAAAGACAGACACTAATGGTGTCTAAATGATATTTCTAATTAAACATTCTTGGGTAATACCCAATACATCAAAAGAAATTGTTATAAAAAAAATACATCAAAAGAAATTCAGTGGCCAAGCCCTGGATCGAGCACATCAATCGGATGTGATCCAAAAGGAAGGGAGTGCCCCAAATTAGCCAAAAAATCACCAGCACAATTGCACTCTCTATACACATGTTTAATCTGAACCTCCCAATTAAGAGAGAGCAACCTATTAATTTCCATCGCGAGCAAAGCAAGCCATATCGTCTTTCTTCAAAATAATACTGATCGCTGTCAGGGAGTCGAGGCAGAGCACCACTTTCTTGAAGCCTCTTCTCCACGTAGTAGCAAGCCCCGTTTTCGCAGCCTTAAGCTCTGCTCTTGTGATTGAGCAATTTCCCATATTGATTCAACACCTTCTCGCAGGGGTTTCCTGTAGAGATCAATTTTCTTTACTATGTAAGTTGGTCGCTCTCTGGAGTTTTCCCCCCGGAGGCGGCACATGGAGTGATGATGTTCAACTTCCATGGATTTCGATATGATCGGACAAGCTGATTTGGTTTTGTTGCACTTTGATTGGTTGTTTACAAGAGAGTTTCTTGATGATCTGTTTTCGGTCAAGGGTTTTGCTCTTTCCGAATGGTTGCTTTGCAGACTGTGTTTGTTCTCTGTTGCTACATTTTGTCTTACACAGCTTTGTTTGTAACCAGATGTCTTTGGGCTTCCTCTTGTTGGAACCAGATTGTTGGTTTGTTCTCCCTCTTTGTAACTGATGTTTTGAAGTGCAATAAAATCCCCTTTGTCAAAAAAAAAAGTTGGTCGCTCTCTCCGTCTTTTTTCGTCCTTTACCGTACACCATAAGCCACTCATTGGTGCAATTTGACTGCAAAACGTACACTATGTGTCTTCGTCAAATCGTCCAGCCAGTGGCGGCAGTACAAATGTACAATAAGGAATAATTAAGTGAAATTTTCATTGTTTAGCGTAAATAATAAGTCGATTTAGATAATAAACAAATTCATGGGTTTTTAGATAAATTTTAAATGTGGTTTCGCTGGATAAAATTTAAATGTGAAATACAGCATTACTTACCCAACGCATTAGCTAGGTTATGTACAACACACAGCTATTACGCAAATATATTCCATAACAATATGGACTACAACACAAATGGAAATTTTAATTTTATCGTAGGCAATATTATATAGAGAGTTCTCATAAGCTAGTCATTTTAGTATTATCCAAACCCCACACCATACCCAATCAATTCGGAAATTTCTCTCATTGATTGGGTCGGGAGGGCGATATCCGCAATTTGTGTGTGCAATTGTCATTCCTATATCCAAGTTATAAAAAATTTGCATAAAATTTGTGTTTTACGGCTATGTACTCCTATCAAATTTTTTTTTTGCCAAAGATATCCCGGAAGGGAATACAGCAGATACGACATAATAAAAGGACCTTTACAGGTCAATTACAAAGAGGAATTAAGGAAGAGTCGCTGGTCGACCAACCGACGATCCAACGAAGAGAGGGCTTTTTTCGCCACGATATGGGCAGCCCTATTGTACTTACACGGAGCGAAGTGAAACGATACACGTTGCATGGAGACACGAAGAACCTGGATCTCTGCGAGGAGGCTACCACCCAAAGCATGGCTTGAATCCTTACGATTTATCATTTGAATAATCACCTGCGCGTCACCACAAAATGAGACATTAGAGACCGAATTAGAGAGACACCACCGAAGGGCATCCCGGAGGGCCAAGAGCTCAATGATGAATGCGTCATCCATATAGTCGTAAAATTTCCCAAATGCAAAAAGAATAGTCGTTGGCCCTGAAAACCCAACAAAACCAACTCCTCCCCCAATACTGGTTTTTGTGGCGCCATCAAAATGGACGAGGACAGTCCCCGGCAAAATTGGTGGTGGGGTGTGACTCCTATCAATTCGCCAAATAAGTTATTGGCAAACTTATTATTATTTTGGGATCTCCTAGAGTAACTTGGGTATAATTTCAAGTTAGATAACTTGCATAAATCTAGACCATTAAAATTAGTTAGAATCAACTTAAGCCATTGATTAAAAAAAATAAAAAATAAAAAGAAACAGAGGACACCGGCACTGCCGGTGAATACATTCCCGTTACCTTTTTTTTGGTAGGAATTCCCGTTACCTTTTTATTTCTTACCCTCCTTTTGTTTTTCATTGCACAATTTATTTCCTTTTTACCTAATAGCGCCTCTGCTTGATTTTATTCAATTGCATGTATTTAATTTTTTTTAGGGTTAATATTTTCGTATGGCCTGAACTTTGACCAAAATAAATATCCTGGCCAATCTTTTCGATCTATAACATCCTGGCCCGAACTATACACCAAAATAAACAATTTGGCCAAACCCGATGTTTGACCGTTAACTTGGACGGTCAAACGCGTTGACTAATGGTCAACGCGCCACGTCACTGCCAAGTCAGAAGATCTGATAAATATTTAATTTTTTTTTTTTTGGTTTAACTAAGGTGTTAGATGATTTTTTTTAATTTATAATAATTTAAAATTAGGAAATGTGTGGAAATTGTGAATTATTTTAAATATTTTATGCTGACTTGGCAGTGACATGCGCGTTGACTAACGGTCAACACGTTTGACCGTCCAAGTTAACGGTCAAAAGTCGGATCTGGCCAAATTGTTTATTTTGGTGTATAGTTCGGGCCAGGATGTTATAGATCGAAAAGATTGGCCAGAATGTTTATTTTGGTCAAAGTTCAGGCCATACGAAAATATTAACCCTTTTTTTTAATTATCTTTTCATAATTTTAATGATAGTTTATACCAAAAATGTTTTGGAAGACTTCAATTAAATACTTTTCGTAATGCCTTCACATAACATAAGGTTAAATATTCATTACGTAAAATAAGTCTCAATTACGTAAGGTTTCAGTAATGACATTTTACAACTGTTACGTAAAATACACCTCCATTACGTAAGCCTTCCGTAATGACAGTTGTTTCTTACGTAACGGTTAAATCAGATGCGTTACAGAAGGATCCGTAATACCTTCACACTTGACGTAACGCAAGGTTAATATTCATTACGTAAAAGAAGTCTCAATTACGTAAGGCTTCCGTAATGACATTTTAGAACTGTTACATAAAATACACATCCATTACGTAATGCTTCCGTAATGACAGTTGTTTCTTATGTAACAGTTAAATCAGAAGCGTTACGTAAGGCTTCCGTAATACCTTCACACTTTACGTAACGCAAGGTTAATATTCATTACGTAAAAGAAGCCTCAATTAAGTAAGGCTTCCGCAATGACAGTTATCTCTTACGTAACAATTAAATTAGAAGCATTACGTAAGACTTCCGTAATGACTTATTACTTTACGTAACGCGAGATAAATATTAATTACGTAAAAGAAGCCTCCACTACGTAAGGCTTCCGTAATGAAATTTTACAACTGTTACGGAAGATGCACATACGTTACGTAATCATTACGTAACACCTGTTGTGTTTTACGTGATGCAACCTGTGAAACCTGCTATAACAGGTAAAAAAAATCAAGTTACCTTACTTCAAGGCATTGTAGGAATTTCCTATTATTTTTTGTTGGTAAGCACCACTAATTTTCACAAAATAGACTGATGAAACTTCTTAAGTTTTTCCTGGCTTAAATTTCGTTGTCAAATGACGTGTATCAATGAGCCCCTTTTTTAAAAAACTGAAAATACAATTTATTTTCTTTCGGTTTCATCTGAAGTTTGCCAATATATTTAATTTCTTATTAAATATTTTGTGCACTAAAATTAAATTCCGCAATAAATTTGGAGAAAACTAAGTGTAAAACGTTTTCACCCTTTAATTGAAAGGTCAAAGGAGCATGGCCGATGGTTCAGTCGCGCATATTTAACGCGACGCAATCTGGGAGGCTGCATGATGTCATTAGTGATGATGGGTATCCTGATGCTGACATCAAAACTTAATTTAGCTCTTATTAGAGTCTAGTGCACAAATTAGATTAATTCCTTAATTTGTTAATTAGATTAATTTGTTAAAACTAGAATTCCCAGCTGGTCAAAAAAATCATGTTTTACCTGCTGACCATTTTGCCCCACTACGCAATATCCACTAGAATGTGATATTAAATGGCAAAGCGAGAAACACACACTGTAATTAATTAATTAATCTAGTTCAGTACAATTGCATAAGCACAAACATCATACATATATATATGTGAGAGAGAATTTAATTTATCTTAATTATACCTTGCCCAACACTGC